AGAACCCACGTTACCCTGAGAGGGGTCGTTTTGCAAAATGTGTATTGGGCTACGGAGAAGGTAGGTTTCCCAGGGAACGGCATGGGAGACAGGAAAGAAAGGGGCGATTAAAGGGCCGATTCAAGTAGAATTTTATTTTTTAACATTAGCTAGTATAGCATTTTTTTAAGTTTTTTTTTAATTTTTATTTTATTTAATTTTTTTACAAATTGGGTGTCAGTGGAACATCGCTTAGGTTTTAACAAAAATTGCAGAAGGTAGTATTTAAGAATAATGAAATTCCCCTGATGGTAAAAACAAAAAAAAGTTATTTTTATTTTTCTAAAAAAAGTTGATTTGCATAACTCGTACACCTCTACCTCCCATGACACACCAAACAAAAATAAATTTTCCGATGCATTTAATGTTGCACTCTACGACGCTATTTTCAGTAACCAAAAAAAACTGCCTCTGAATACATTAAAAATCAATATTACCCTGCATTTTTTACCATTGTTTAGAAAAAATATTGAATCAATATTTCATAGATCGAATCTCTGTTGTGTCACTGGGCTAGTTTAGTAATAATTCTGCAATTCTTTGAATTTGAGATTTGCCTGAAAAAAAACTATATGCAGATTCTTTATTTTTTTTTAAGTTTTGCTTTCGCCACTTTGGAGTGCAATTTGGCAGCATCTAGTGAAACTGACAGCATGGACGCTATATGACCCAGCAGCCCCACTTCAGAGACATACCCTAGAACAAACAGTGGCTTTTGAACTTGTTGGTACGAGGTCTCCATTACCCTCTTAAAAATGACTGAGGACACCAAAGAGGTTTTGTTTAGGCAGAAGATATCTATTGATATTTAGCTTATTGGAAATTAAAACTGAGAAAGGTTTTAAATATTTATTAGTTAATTTAAAACAATAAATCATGTTAATATAAGTAAAGTTTTTACTAAAATAACTTTTTTCAAGCAAAAAAACATTAGTAAGGAGAGTGGCATTGTGTTAAGATTTTGTGACTCTCTTTAATATGACTTAATCGAAGGCATCCAGATGCTCACATCTGCTTCTGGAGTCAGTCTGTTGTAATGTAAACACCATGTGGCCTCTGGAAAGTTCCACTGTACATTCAGGAGAGAGGTAGCTTGAAGAAGGACAAACGGCATCTCAAGATTATTATGAACATAGTTTCGATTTCATGGCCCAGACCACACTTTGAGAACCATGCTGCCCTAGAGAAACTCAAGGACATGTATAAAGATGTTCTTTGTAGTATTTTTTGTTATGATGAGAAAGTGGAACCAACGTGCATCTTGTAGTCCAACCACAAGATCCATGCAGGCTGCACTATTGTTGCTTTGCTCTCTACATATTTCCAGCTCTTAGCACATGTTGGCACGTGGTGGGTGCTCCGTAAATATTTGTAGAAGGTGGGAAGTGAGAAAAGCAGCAAGGGAAAAATATAAATATTGTCATGCAACTTGCTTTAAAATTTAACTCTGTTTCGTAAACATTTTTTCACAGATGTAGACTTTTAGCTTACAGGGTAGGAATGGCCAAAAGTCATGTGATTCTTGTATAACTAGTCAGCTTATTTTTCCAGTGTCTAAAAAGTAAAGGTGTGTGTATTTCAAATGTCTTATCGGTCAAGCACCACAGGCTGCAAACCACTGCCATCTAATGGTGCATTAAGAAGTCCACACATTATGGGTGGAATGCCCTTTGCTGTTAACAAATTTTGCCCATATTTTGTTTGGAGATATTCTGTAATTCCAGCCCCCCAAAATTGAGTCAATTATTTAAAGGCCTTTCTAGAAATAATACAACCAATGTAGATCTCTTTGTTACCCCTGTAATTTTCATGGACACTGGAGGATATTCTTAAAATAATTCAGGTAAATTTGTTAACATCTGTCAGATCATACAGCAAAACCAATGGTTAAAACAAGTTAATAGATTATTTTGTTCATGTAAATATCTTTTACTTTTTCTCCTCTTTTCTTGACTCTGCTTGGTCTCTAATTTACATGGTGAGAGATTTTTAATATTGCATGCAGAAAAAAATAGCAATGCATAGTAACTGCTCAATAAATGTTTGCTAACAAGAAAAACGCATTCATAGCCTTTTTTAATGCCTTTTTTCCCCTTCAGTTTTGCATCCTCAATGCCTAACACATATGGTAGTCCAATATTGTGGAAGGGAGGTGGGGAGGGAAGGAGAGAAGGCGGAAGGAAAGAAGGAAGGCTGCTTGTGTTAAAAAAAAGATAGAAGGTTATGATCTTCAGAGTGCCTTTTATCTCTGTGATTCTGGAACATTAATAACTATAACAAAGAGGCCACAGATAATTAAGATGCTTTCAAAGGCAACCAGAAATCATTGCTCTGACTATGAAGGAAATCAAGTTGCCTCATCCTTTATCACCAATGAAGCAGCCCTGCCCTAAACACGGCTCCTGGAGTCCTCATTTTTCAAATACCCATTATCTAAGTCACCACATTTCTGAGTCTGGATAGGGAAAATTCATCAAAACATGAAAATATTCACCCGTCAACTTCCAGCTAGTCCCTTTGCAAAAATCCCTCCCCGTTTAATGTTCCTGTCTCTTCCCTCCTCTCTAGTTAGCATCTTGTCCCTGGGTGATGCAAACGTTGTATAATAAAATAAAAATACTGGGCAACGAAAATTCATTTCAAAGTAAAACTGCAAATCTTCCAACAAAAGATGAAGGGTTTCCACAGAGTACATAGAAGTGATGGGGGAAACTGCTGGAATCACAAGCAAAGCCACTGACAAATGAGAATGTGGCAGAGAAAACTGATACATAATAGTGACAGATGCTTCGTGTTCTTGTTATCTGTTGCTACTTAACCCATTTACTGGCTTAAAACAACAGCAATCATTTCATTATCTCTCACAGTTTCTGTGCCCAGGAATTCCCCGGGGTCTGGCCTGGGCAGCTCTGGCTTGAGGTCCCTTGTGCAATTGCAGTGGGACGATGTCTCCCCCTCCTCACACCCAGGTACCCAGCCCCATTTAACCCCTAATAGGTCTCTGTTGTCCTTGGGATAAAGCGGAAAAGCCTACATACGGCTTTCCAAATGTTCTGTGGTGCGGCCCAATCTTTCCAAGCTCACCTCATGCCACCCTGTGCGGTTCCTGTCGACCACCTACGCTGGTCTGCCAGCTGCCCCAGGACCTCGCACATGTGGTTCCTGCTGCCAGGAATTCCCTTCCCCTATAGCCTCCCACAGTAGACGTCTGCTCCTTTGCCTGTCCAAAGAGCTGTCTCGTTTTTCTGATGAAAATAAAAACAAGACAAAAAAATTTGTCTTTTTCTTTCCACCACCTCATGGGCCTTGTAGTGACATGGCTCCCTTTCCACATCCCAACATGTAATTGAAACTGGCTAATCAAAGTACCTCATCCACTGGAGTTGGGCATGGGATCCAGGCAGAACCAAGCAGAGCCCTATAGATGCTCTTTTTTGGTAATCCAGGGCACTGAAACATATCTCCATGTGGGGAAAAATATCTATCAAGTCAACACAGGGAAAAGCAAGACTAAGATTAGACAGAGAGAAAGACAGGAGTCCTGACAACCGTGTTTAGATCCCTGAATTCTGGCCTTGCCTGAAGCCAGTCTACCCCCAACTTCCCTGTTACATGAGACTAGTTATGCTCAAGTGTGAGTGGGTTTCTACTACTTCATTGTCCTTTGTCTGCCTAACTCTTCATGGAGAGTCTGATTCCAGAAAGCCGTCACAGACCCTCCTGTGTAGGTCAAATCTCTCGGAAGCTCTTAGTGTGCTCTCCTACAGATCAGTCACCAGTTATTGTTTCATAGTTATTCATGGAATTGTTTAAATACCTCCTCCACAAGTCCCATTAAAGGACCTTGGGTTTTGTTCAACACCCATTGCATCACCAATGCCTGGCTGCGAGCGGGCACTCCATGCATATTTATAGAACAAATGACTCATGTAATGAATTCACTTTTCTGACAGGGCAGCATATTAAGCCCAGAAGAGATCAGAAAAAAAAGTTCTGTGTTCTAAAAAACAACAACAAAAAAACCACCAACAACTAAAAAGCCAAAATAAACAACTCTTTTCTTTTTAGTTTTTTTTTATTTATTTGAGAGAGAGAGAGAGAAACATGGATTTGTTGTTCCACTTATTTATGCATTCACTATTATTATTTTTTTTAATCTAAATCTTTTTTTTTTTTTTAAT